CGGATTTGCTTCTTGCTCTTGTCGCCTCTGTTGTCCGCTGACTCACTCCTCGTCTTCTTCTTGGGCTTTGGCTTGGTCTTCGCATGACTCTTCGCTTTGCTTTGAGGTAGTACAGGTGTTGCTTTATCCGGCTTGGTCGGCGAAGCCTTGACCTTTGCGGATGGAGCTGCGTTAGGCGTTGGTTTCTCGGGTACCTTGGCCGGTGCAGCAAGCAAATCCTTGCCTTCAAGCATCTGGCGCAAGCCAATTTGGGTCTGAGTGAGATTTGACTGTTCTCGTCTCCGCATGATGGTACGGTCGATGATCTTCATCAGATTGTCATACGATCGGTCTTCATGATTGTAGGGCAAGTGTTCGTAGTGCATGCCCAATTCCATCTTCATTGCGGGCGAGTCCTTGATCTTGCTGTACAAGCAATCACGGAGAGCTGTTTTGGATGGTATGTCTTCTGGCCTCATTCGTCCCAGAACTTCCAACCACGTCTGCTTGAACGTATGAAGCTTGTTGTCGCCTTGGTATTGGAGCTTCACCAGATACTCGAGAGTGATGATCATGTCGAGACGATCATGTGTTCGAAAACTTTCATACATCATCGCAATGATTTGTCGTCCTTTAATGATCTTCCCTTCGGGCCTGCTGATGTAATCGTTGGCCTTCCGGTTTACCTCCAGGTACAGATCAGCAGATTTGTCACCACCAGCGCGTAGCATTGCGACCATTGCAATCCCCAATTTGACGTCCACGCTCTTGAACTTCTTGTGTCCCGAATCGTTCAGTGCTTCGACATCAGGGAATGGGTTGAATGCCGGTGCCAACCATAACATCCAGTCCTCATGATTTGGATCGGCTGATGCTCCTAAGACATTTGCCGTGCATACGGATCGCCAGTTGTTGAGGTGAGTGAGAGTAGGCCATGGAGGAACGGTCACTTTGTCGGCCTCCCTCCTGGAAATTCTCACTTCCGTGACTTCAGGATCTGCGTCTCCATCAGGATCACGCGCATGAGATCCAGGATCCGATTCAGGTTTGCCTCCACCGCTTCTCTTCTTGTCATCATCATCATCAGGCGGGTCTGGAGGATCATACCCTGTGCCGGTTCCTTCATCATGCTCTCCATCTTCATTCTCGTCGCCAGCTTCGTCACCGTCATCGTCTCCATTATCCTCCTGAATCGTTTCAGCGAATAATCTCCACTCATCACGATCAGCTCTGAGACGCTGTTCGGCTTTCTGGGCCTTGAGTACTTCGCTTCGCAGATCGGCAATCTTCTCCTCGTACCGTTCCGCGACCTCTTTCTCGATCTGACGTCTCCTTGCTTCATGAATGGAATCGTCATAGGCAATAGGGGGACCAATGAGGTCGTTGCCCTTCGTAGATGCGGTGATACCGTCGACACCAACAGGTCTTGAGGAGCTGGCAGATGCTGTGGACTTCGATCCCAACATCCCGCGATCCTCCAAGAGTTCGCGTAGCTGTCGATCACGCACGGCTGCCGCATCACTTTTCCCATGAAATCCGCTTGGTATGCCGAACAAAGTGGCTGCACTAGGCGTGGAACGCGCAAGTGCTGGGCTGCTAATACCTGGCACGTAGTGCTCGGGCATTGCATCCGCCACGATTGGCATTGAACTGCGGCCAGTGAAGAAGTTTCCACCGGTAAATGGAATTCCATCCATCACAAGGTTCTTGTCCTTGTCCGATTCCGAGAATGCGAACTTCTCTTTGGCGACTGGACTAACTTGACTTGGGGACCGTATTTCAGGGGATCGTACCTCACCTCCTACGGAAAATGCAGGCACTACTTCCTTTCCTACGTGCTCCCAGCCAGACTCAGTAGTCCTCGAAGACATGGGCATGCTTGAAGGCCGTGTCGCTCCTCCATAGTTGGAGTTTCGCGCTGCCTCCAATTCGCTGCGTGTCCTCGCTTGAAGATCTTCTTGTGCTTTGAGCGTTTTCCTGAGTTCACTCAGCTCGTCGTGCAAGGTAGGCAATGATCGCCTTGCATGATCTTCATTCTGATGAAGTCGGTCCTCTGCATCTTGCATCCTCTTCACAGCCATTTTGCGGTACTCTTCCTCTTCACCAAGACGTTCGCGAAGCCGAAATCGTTCTTGATCAATGGCTGCGCTGTTTCCAGCTAGCCCTTGGATCTCGTTCACGGCCCGCAACTCCTGGTTCTTGACCAAGTGGAATCGTTCCTGCATTGCTTGTAAGGCTTGTTCCGAACTTGCTGTGTTCGACCGGAGGACCAAGTTCTCTCTGGCATGTTCATGAAGTTCATGAGTCAGACGCTCATACTCACGTGCCATAAGCTCACCATCGCCTTGCGCTCTTGCCTCCAACTGCACAAAGTTAGTGGCTGCCTCCGTGCGGAACACGTGTAGCTGTTGAGCTAACTCCTCGGCAACGGCATGTGCTTGACGTTGTTGAGCAGAGTTCTGTTCATCCATGCGAAACAAAGCTGTTTCATAGTCTCGCTTCATCTCCTGATTGACATTGTTGATGTGCCTCATGGCTAAGCATGCATGGTCACGTTGTCGTTCCAATTCTTCAATGCGAATTCCAGATCCTTCATCTTCTTGTTGCATCTCCTTGATCTTGTCCATCAGGGTCTGGACGACTCCTTCGTACTCTTGCATCTGACTGCGATAGTACATCTGCTGTGCAAGGTTAGATGCTTCGAGCTGTTGCGAAATCGTCAGTTCCTGATAGGCATTCGGACCATCGGCTATGGCTGGAGTGGCCACCGATGACGCATCACCACGTGCTGGGATAGTGTCCAGAGTCATATCCAGATCGTCAGCATCGCGTGGTTGGTTGGTAACCATCCGATTCCAAGTCATGGACTTGTCACGCCCACGAGTAACCGAAGTCCTTGATCGTGCTGAAGAGCTTCTCGAAGATGATGGTCTTGACTTCTTTTCCAAGGTCTTCACTCCTTTGTCCTTGGCCCTGGACGTAGTCCGAGGTGCCTGAAAACCAGACGCTTCGGCTCGTCGTTCGGGAGCCTTGCCCGTCCTCGAACCTGTGGATGTCGGACGCGAAGGCGTAGATGCTCTTGGTAGACTCTTTGCTTTCACCTTGGGAACTGCCTTTGCAATGGCAAGCGCAGAAGATTGACCTTTGTCATCTTCCGTGGAGCTATCAACGGATTGCACCACTGTGTCATCAGCTGTTGACTCACCAACGGCTGGCGCTGCCACATCGGCACCGAAAGTCATTGTCGTATCTTGGCTTGATCCTGAGTTCATTGTGGTCGTAGTAGATCAAGTAGTCGTTGCTGTAGAAAGGCAGAGCCGCGTACGGCTGATAACCTGCGTGGGGGATTGATCTCGACTAGGTTGCTGCTCTCCCCACCAGAGCTGTAATGAATGTAGGTGTGGCTGGCTTGCACTCTCCACAGACTGGACCCTGTCTCTCTCACACTTCCACACGTGCAATCCTATGCAGGCAGAACCGGCGGCCGTTCCTTTTGCACTCACTGCCGGCGGCGGTTCGTCTGTGCAACGGGATAGCTCTGATTGCTCAGGATAGAAGACACATATAGCACTTAGCTATGGGCATTGACTTGAGCCAAACGTTGCGTGGGCGGTCACATAGAAAGGTAAAGATGAGGGACGCGTAGCGTGCCCCCTTAGAGTCGAGGGACGCGTAGCGTGCCCCCTTCTCTTGCACTTTACACGGTCTTGCTCACAGCTCTTATAGTGACACCTTAGAACTTGACAAGGCATCGCAGTCCGTTCGCAACCTACTTACTAAGTCCCCCGACCCTCCAAGTATGACATGACCAGATCAAAAACTAAACCTTAAAGCTTCAAACTGTAGGCCCTGAACCCCTTTCGGCCCTGCAGCCTAACCGCAAGCCCTTTAAACTTTAGGCCCAGAATTTCAAGCCCCGGAACCCCAACCCTAAACCCCTAAACTCTAAACCCCTAACCCCTAAAACCCTGAGCCCCTAAACCCTAAACCCCTAAACCCCTAAAGCCCTAAAACCCTAAAACCCTGAACCCTACATAAATCCCTAAAACCATAAAACTCTAAAGCCCTAAAACCCCAAAAACCCCTAAATCCCTAAAACCCCTAAACCCTAAACCCTAAAACCCTAAACCCCCTAAAACCCTAAACCCTAAACCCCAAAAACCTGAACCGAAAAACCCTAAACCCTAAACCCCAAAAACCTGAACCGAAAAACCCTAAACCCTAAAGCCCTAAACCCCCAAAAGCACTAAAACCCTAAACCGAAAGTCGGGCCTGGCAAGCTCGAAGAAGAGCCTGCAACGGGCCCGCCTTGCCGCGGTCCGAAGAGCATCTTCTTGAGGCGTTTGTAGACTTTTGTAGACTTTTGTAGGCTTTAATAGGCTTTTATAAGCTTTTATAGGCTTTTATAGACTTTTATAAGCTTTTATAAGCTTTTATAAACGTTTATGGGCTTTGATAGGATTTTATGGACATTTACAGGTTTTTTTGATAAGAAAAAAACGTTTACTTGGAGGTTCATGGGTAGATATAGGTGGGATTATAAGTAGGGTAACTATACTTATGACTCATATTAGGGGACTTATAACCCTACTTATAACTACCCATGAACCTCCAAGCAGGGTGTAGGTTTTACGGCTTTGGGTTTAGAGGGTGTTATAGGCGTTTATTAGCTTTTAAAGGTTTTTATGGGCTTTTATAGGCTTTTATGGGGCTGATAGGGTTTATAGGGTTTTAGGTTTTAGGGTTTAAGGGGCTTATCGGGTTTATAGGGCTTAGGGTTTACAGAGTTTATAGGGCTTGTAGGGTTTATAGGGCTCGGGTTGAGGTATTAGGTTTTAGAGTTTAGGGTTTGTAGGGTCGTCCGAAGCCCTAAACCCTTAACACCAATCTCTAAACCCCCAATTGCTATACCGGGGAGAATCAGCGGACAAGAACACCAATACATTAACAACCAATTTCAGAAACCAGGGGGAGCGACTGCAATTGTCGAAATGAAAATCCAAAGCGTCGTGGATCGGAGCCTTGGCGCCTAACTCATCGCACATGTCCTGCAGGGTGAGATGTGTCTTCGAGTTGCAAGCTATCAGGCTGCTGAAAGCTTAGGGCATTCCGGTTTGGCGAAACTTGGGCCGAAGAGTCGTGGAACACAAGGTGTTAGGACTTCTAGCTGGGGATTGACAGGGTATCAGTCGGAGGGGAATTAAAAAGAGAAATAGCAACAATGGCCCCTTCTGGCCCACCAAATATCTATACCATAATCGAAGCCAAACCCTGATCAAATTGCTAAGGCCCCAAGATCATATAATGTAGGGGCCTTAACAATTAGAATAGGGTTTCGAGGCCCTACAGATCCCACTTATAATAACCCTTACAGACCCCTTTAAAGGAACCCTTAGGAAATAGACCCCTTTAAAGGAACCCTAGATTGAGGGCATATATCCTAACCTAGACCTCCCCAAAGCTTCGAACGATTAACCCATGTGTTGGGCCTTTTCTCAGCTCCTGTAGTCATGGTTCCGTAAAGTTTCCTGTAAAGGTTCCTGTAAGGGTTCTATAGGGTTTAGGGCGGTTTAGGGTTTAGGGTCTACTTGGAGGTTTATGGGTAGTTATAAGTGGGCTTAGAAGTAGGGTAGACTATAATCTTCATGACTGAAAACCCGACTTATAACCCCCAGGCGGTGATAGTAATGCAGAGAGCTCTGGTAATGACCACAGTATACATGCCAACTCCCATACCTAATGGTGTTGGTGACAATGCTGGCAGCTGTTGCTGTGCCGATGATGAGACTTGTACTAATGGTGACGCTGATGATGGTGAGGAGGCGGAGCAGGATGAGGATGCGGATGAGGGTGAGGTGATAGTGATGATGATGGTGGTGATGATGATGCCGTGGTGGTGATGATGAGGATGATGTTTGAAGGTGGTAGTGATAGTGGCCATTGACGGTGATGGTGATGCTAATGCGATGATGACTGGCAATGAAGGCGGAGCGACGGGGGGGCAGCACAAAAGAAAACACAGTATGTTACCATCATCGGCATGACAGTGATGACCGAATGGTGTAACTTCCAGCGAAGATGCCCGTCAGCATCACACAAAAGAAACCCTCCACACACACTCACACACACACACACACACATCCCTATCCCCCGACACCACATATATACCCTAAACCTAAACCCCCAATAAACGAGCCCGGCCCGAAACCTCAAATCCTGAGCCACAACTCAAAAAAATTGACGGAGGCTCCTGGACGGTCATCGGCCTCCTCTGAAGGGGCTCCAGCAGGCTCTCAACGAAGTCGAGGAGCAGTGCACCGGCCTGAAGCTGAACCAGAAAATCTGCGGCACTAAAGGCGCTTCTCAAATTCAGGGCCTATGTTAGGGTTCCCTTAAAGGGGTCTGTCTATACCGGGGACTATAAGGGATCTATAAGGGTACTATAATGTAGGAACCTGAATAATGAACCTTGGGCCTTCATTAGGGCTCCTTTTGTGAACCCTACTGTTTTGGGGCTAGAGGCCCAGGGTTTCTTGATCAGGTTCCTACATTACTGCCCCAAAGCATCAAGTCCGCCAGGTTTAAGGTTTTTTTGTTGGGTTTAGCGTGGAGGGTTTAGGGTTTTAAATTTTTGGGTTTAGCGTTCAGGGATAGTAGGGCCACTATTAAGGGCCTGATATATCTGCATTATGAATTTAACCGTATTAGTTGTCGATTTCAACAGTCCCCTGAACTACTTGCGATGAGTGCTCTATATTAATATTAAACAGTAAGGGGAAGTACCCTGAAGCTGCAGGGCTTAGGGTTTAGGAGAGTGGAGGGTGTAGGTTTGGGAAGGTTCAGGGTTTAAGCTTCGAAGTAGGACGTCCCCATTAGGGCATAGGGCTTGGAACTGTTTGTGCTAATGATAATGAGTTAAAAATGACACAACAAATAGCTATGGCATGCCAGCCACAATGATAGAACCCGAAGAAAATGATATCATCAGCAGTACTATGAAACAAAGCACGACCCGAATACTGATTCTGCCAATCAAAAAAAGAAAGAAAATCAAATGATTTAAGACACCTGAAAACTGAACCAAACCATAAACACAAACAGGGAGCCAAATAGCAAGGCCCTGAAGGAAAGGGATTGACTAAACAAAGATCGACACTACTGGGATTTCTAGTTGCCTACCCGGGCCTTACTGGAAGGTAACTACAAACAAGTTTAGCTTTATATACTGACAACCCCACTTAAGGTGCTTGCAACCGCAGTTACTAAGTCCAATGAACCTGAAAAGACGAGATCTCTGAGTCAGGTCCATACTAAACCCCCCTAATACCTCCTAGCAACCCGCCATACTAAACTCCTATAATACCCCTTGTAACCCCCCATTCTATACCCCTAAATGCCCTTGATAGTACCCTCCAGGGACGCCTTTCAATCGTGATCAGGCCAAAAAGACGCCCCAGCACACATGAATCGAGGTTCGCGTTCCGGGCTCCAGGCTTGGGTTCGTTGGTTTTAGGGTGCTGGGGTTCAGGTGTAGGGCTTAGGGTTTAGAGGGGTTGTTTCTTTTAGGGTGCTGCTTAAAAGTTCATGGGTAGTTATAAGTGGGTATGTAATTCGGGTAGCTACATTTATAACCCATATTAAGGGATACTCTAACTCGACTGAGAAACTACCCATGAACCTCCAAGAAGGGTTGAGGTCTTTGGGGTTTGCGGCTTTGGGATTTAGGGCTTAGGTTTCTTCTTGCTGGTTAGGGTTTGGGTGTATGGTGGTTGATCAACATTTGGGCCCCTTTTGGTCCCTAGACTGTAAAGAATATACTACCCCTAGACTATCAAGAATATTCTGCCCCCTAGACTATAAAGCATCTACCACCCCTAGACTATAAAGAATATACTACCCCTAGACTATAAAGAATGTACTACAAGCAGACCACGAAAGCGGCCCATAGTTTTGATCAACCCCCCTATCGAATTAGTCCCAAGGCTCATGTCCGGTCTTCAGGGAGCCCCGGCCGTCCATCCGTGGATGAGCATGAAGGCATTGCTGCTGAGGTCAATGCCGTTCTCCACAGCATCCTGAGGAGTCTAATGCAGGGGCCTTGACAATTAGAATAGGGTTTGGGTAGTTAGCTATAAGTGTTTTTGTTTTACAAAAACCCTCTAATGCGGGGGCCATGACAGTTAGAACAGGGTTTCGGTTTTTAGCTACAAGTATACAGACTACAAAATGTTGGAATACTGTTACCAACTAACTGGGCCGCTGTACTACAGGCCCCTGCAAGGGTTTAGGGTGCCGCAGTTCGTCATTTGTGGTATAGGAGCGCGAGCTGATGGGTTCATGTAACTACGTAGATTCGATTTCCTCCGTGATCATCTGGGAGTTTCCGAAAATAGGGGACCCTAATATAGTACCCTAAATTGTAGGATCCTGATTATAAGGACCCCCAAAACAGGTACCCCGAATTGCGGAAACTCCCATCTACGGCCGCTGTAAGTACAGGGTCAGGACCCAGGATGCCAACTTCAATCTTGAGCCCGAAATCCCCTCGTAGGGTCAGCAAGGTGGGGGCCTCAGGGCAATTATAGATAGTGAGGGTATGTCCATGACCCCTAAACCCTAAACAAAAACCGCAAACCTTCTACCCCCTACATCTTCACGGAGACTCCGGAAAGCGTGGAGCATTCAGTCCGAGACCAAAGACCAAAAACTAAAGGGTTTATCTTAAACATCGCTGAGCCAGAAACTCTACAGGAAAAGCCCGTGAAGGGGACCTTCAGGCTTTGCACTTCGGCCTTAGGATGCCTGGCTTAGGAGTTTGGTTTAGGGTTTAGGGTTCAGGGTTTAGGGATTGGTTGGGTTTTCGGTCCCGTTTTCGGCATGGTCAAGTAAGCGAAGAAATTCTTTTCTCTGCCTCACTGCATCACGAGTTCCGTGGCAATAAAATCCTCTTAACCACTGAAATTTTAAGCGATTCGGATTGAACACATACCTGGGTACCTCTGTATCAGCCGACCACATATATTGATAGTTACTTGTTAAGCTTCGATGCGGACACGGGTATAAAGCCGACGCCTCAAACAATGTACACAATGCAAGCACTGTAGGGGAAGTCACAGAAATCCCTGAAAAATGAAGCGACGAGGCCTGCAGCGTTGCGTGATCGCACATGGCGTCTAAGACTTTGGGACCAGTGCGTTCTTTCTACAAACCGTCGGTGGGATGTAGACTTCCCTGCCAATCTACACAGAAGCTCCAAAGATCAATCTGCAATGCGTCCAGACACTCTCCTGCACTCGAATAAGCCCGAACCCTCCAACTCTAAATCCCATGAGGTAATCTAAACCAGGAACCCCTATTGCCGTTTTTTGTCAGTCTCTGTGGGGCTTCTTGTATTTTCTCTGTTAAAACTCGAGCCGAAAAATCAAACACAGACAACAGTAAGTGAGCTTTGATTCTCGGATTATTCCTAGTGTGACCCACAGCAAGGCCTTGCTCCAGTTGGGGTCCCCGAAAGCTAACGGAGACTCAGGGGACCTTACGCATTCGCATGCTTGGTCTGATTGCAGTCACAAGTACTGCGAGAACTGGGCACGATGGTCATCGTCATCACCCTCATCATCATCGTCATCATCAGCATCATCATCAACATCATAAAGAATCCTTGTCATCTTGCCAAGTGGCAATGCTACGAATCCTAAACCAGACCTGAAACCGTAAACCCCAAACAAAACCCCAGGCCCTTGCTGGTCTGGTTGTTGATGCTGTTGACACTACGTCTCCTGTGGTCGACGTTGTTGCTCTTGCTGTTGCCATTGTCATGATCAGGGTACCAATGAAAATGATGGTGGCGACAAGGAAGTTGAAGGTGATGCTGGAGCTGTTGAAGATGATGATGATGGTGGTGATGATGGTGATGATGCGAATGGTTGGCAATGCTGTGAATCGTGGCGTGGCCTCACCGCCATAACCACATGGTACCTTCATGTGTGCATATATCTGTATGTATACATATATAATATGTATACATATTCATATGTCACATGTGTGTGTATATAGGTATGTCAGTATGCATGCACATATGTATATTCATAAGGATATATGTATATGCGTGTGTGTCTGTACATGTCGATATGCAATGTATGGATATATGACTACATCAAACACCTACATGCATATGTACATACATACCTGCTAACACACCACATACCTTCATACATTCATACATACATACATACCCCCATTCACGCATACATACACACCATGCATGTATGCGGACACACATACATCCTGACATACCTGCATGGACGCATACGCGCAGCCATGCATGCATGCATACATGCCTATCTGTGTCCATCCAACCATCCATCCTTCCATCCATCCATGCATAAACACGAAGGAGCGTACATATATGGCATGCAAACATACAGACTTAAATACATACATATAAACTCAAGCATTTTTATCTTACATAGTTGGCTGTGTCATACGACAAGCACGTACCGCGTGTACAATTTGTGGTACCGTGTCCTGCATCGAGCGTAGAAGAGAAAGATAGCCTTGACATACTTCGATGAAGGGGCTTAGAACATACAACAGGGACTATAAGGGGATATTGCTGCTAATTACTAATTATTCAGACATGTGCATTATTGCAACATTCTCTGGAAGTTCGAACTCAGCGCTGCTGTCAGACACCTCGGGAGTAGTTCGCCAAGACAACACACTTTCCTCATACGCACGCGTCATCTACTACCGCGGCCTTAAGCCTTGATCATTAGAAGAGGATTGCGGCGTGTATTATCGCATAGGTGTAACATGGTGCTCTGATAAACAAGTATGGCCATAGGTGATCATTCAGATACCTTTGTTGCCTCGCATGGACGGAGTAAGCGAGCTGCGCAGGCACCGGGGCTTAGGTTTTCGGGTTTAGGGGTTTCCTGCTCCTGACCTCTCCTCACGACTTGCTTTCGGGGCACAAGCCAAAAAGAATCGGCACCCCAAGCTTTTTGCGACTCTGTGCTTCAAGCCGCGGACTTTCGCGGCTAGAGCTCCGACCGCATGCCCTTTTCGCTCGCCACCTTTCGGGTTGAGGTTTTAGGGCTCAACCGTAGACCATCCCAGGTCACAAGCAAAAACAATCCACGTCTAACCCGAGTTTAGACTTGAGGGTCTGGCTTCAGGGTTGAAGGTTTGGAGCTTAAGGCTTAGCACTTAGAATTTAGGGGGTTTAGGATTTAGGGTTTAAGGGTTAAGGGCTGAGGCTTCCAGCTTTGCGGCCTTCTAGAAATTACTGTAGGAGACGGTTTTCGGAAATTCGAGTCTGCCGGGCCACTGCTAAAGTTGCACTTTCGATGGACTTCGCTGGTCAAGTCAAAGCTTCATGGCTGTCACATCTAGCTGAGGACGGGTGCAGGGTTCGATGCACTGTTCCCCGCTGAACGTAGATGAAGTCCACACCTCCATTACCAACGCCAAAAATCGCGCGAGGTGTCTACGAATATGCCGCATGGACAGACACCCAGGACCTGAGATCCTGAACTCTAAACGCCCTAAACCCCAAATCCTAAACTCCAAGTCCTAAACTCCAAACCCTAAAAACAAAACCCCAAACCCAAACCCCAAATCTAAACCCCAACCCCTAAACCCCAAACCCTAAACCCTAAACCCTAACCCCCTAAACCCTAAACCCCAACCCCTAAACCCCAAACCCCGAATCCCGGACCCCAAAACCCCAAACCCTAAACCCCAAGCAGAGACCCTGATCCTCCCCCTTCAGCCCGACACGGGAGCCTCGTCTGCACGAGACGAGGACTGTTGCAAGTGCAGCGCCACGATGTCCTGAAGAGAGCACGTCAGAACATGTGCTCTGTTTAATCTGAACCCTCCACCCTAAACCCTAAACTCCTAAACTCCTAAACTCTGCACCCTGAACCCACACCCTAAACTCCTAAACCCTGAACGCAAACCTTGAACCCCAAACTTGAGAGCTTTACAACATCAGGGGTCCCGGGTCCCTTCTTCGGGGCGCACAAGATGAGTCCTCTGGTTTCTGTTTCTGATAGAGACTTTCACACAGTCACGGTCATCTTTGGGAGACCCTAAACCATAACCTGATAGGCGGCCAAAAGGGGGGTTTAAGCTGCTTGGGGGTAGGGATTCCTTAATATGAACCCTTTTCTGGGAACCTTAATCCCTACTAAACCCCGCATGGGCTAAAACCCCTTTTGGCCTACTATGATAAATCCTCAAGCAGAGCCTTAATGTCCGAAGAAAAGCATCGTAGATCAGAGGATCCTCACGCAGGTTGTCCCGCTCTGCTGCTTCTGCTGGTGGGGTTTAGGGTTTAGGGTTGCTTACAAGCAGCATTGTAGACGCGTGCGGCCAGATTCTAAGCATATTGGTAGCAAGATCCGGCGTGCAAGTAGAGGGGAAGAAACGGCCATGGGTTTCCGTCCTCGCTTGCAGTCGCGTATGCGGTCCAGTTATGTATGCATGAACATCGTACAAACGTACGCACACCTCCATGCAGACAAACATGCTATGTCATGGAATATACCGCCGATACACGCCAAGACCATAAACTCAAAGTACTACACGAGCAAATCCCCAAGCCCCCAACCTCTCCTGCAACACAGTTCAAATCCATCTGAACCCTGAACCCTGAACCCTAAACCCTGAACCTAAACTCCTAAACTCCTAAGCCCTGAACCCTAAACCCTAAAACCTAAACTCCTAAAACCAAAACTCCTAGACCCTTAACCCTGAACCCTAACAGTTCAACTCCCTAACACACCCGGAGTCCCTCTAAATCCTCAACCGTCTAAACCCAAAGACACTTCTCGTCCAAACTCCCGGAGCTCGCAGCTGGAAATCAAAAGCCCAAGGCCTTCATAAGCCCAGATGATAGAAATCCTAGGCTTCCTTTAAAGGGATCTATAAGGGTACCTTTAAGGGATCTATACGGTTTTACGGTTTAGGGTGTAGGGTTGATGACATAAATCCTGCATTACCTTAAGGACTCTAGACTGTGGGAATTATGGTATATTCCTTATTATGGGTAATGCAGGATTTATATCATCAACCGGAGCACAAGGGTAAGGTTCAGGGTTTTACAGGATGCTTAGGGTAACAGGGTTCAGAAGGTTAATGAGAATTTATAGGATATACAGTGTTTAAGTCCGAAAGAAAATCGCAAGCCAAGTCGGAGAGCTCTCAAGTTGTCTGCATCCTATCACAACTTGGAGTGTCGGGGGACTTAGTAAGTAGGTAGTAAGTAGACTTTTAAGTACCCTAACAGGGACCCTAATTGGGGTTTTGGTACTTATAAGTCCTTAAAACAACCAGTTACTAAGTCACCCGACCCTCCAAGTAACCATTAGGGTTCCTTTGAACCGGGCTATAAGGGTTACTATGAGGAACCTATATGAGTACTATAACAATGTAGGAACCTGCTTCAGAAACCTGGGGCCTTTATTGGGGTTCTTCATATGAACCCTACTATTCTAAGGGTTATAGGCTCAGGGTTTCTTAATCAGGTTCCTACATTATCGCTAACCCTAGATCCTAGATCCATCAAGATCTCAAACCCACAAGAAACCTGCCACCCATGAAAGAACCCTAAACCCTAAACCCTAAAACCTAAACCCTAAACCCTAAACCCTAAGCCCCTAAACCCTAAACCCTAAGCCCGAAACCCTACCCCCTAACCCCCAAACCCTAAACCCTAAATCCTCAACCCTAAACGCAACCCCTAAACCCTAAGCCCTAAACCCTAAACCCTCAACCCTCAACCCTTAAGACCTGGTATGGGAAAGGTTGACGTTCGGCTCCTTGGTCTCTTGACGCGTGGCGAGCCTCGGCGCTGAGCCCCTGCTTGGAGGGTCTTTAGGGGACTTAGCAAGGGCTCCTTTAAAGGGGATTCTAAGGGCTCCTTTAAAGGGCCCTATAAGGGTAGTATAAGGTTTAGGGTTCAGGGACTTAGTAAGTAGGTAGTAAGTCGACTTAGAAGTACCCTAAACGGGACCCTAATTGGGGTCATGGTACTTATAAGTCCCTAAAATAACCAGTTACTAAGTTCCCCGACCCTCCTAGTGTAGTCTCTGATGGAGTGCCGTCTTGGGCTCGATACCCCGAACCCTACTTTGCGGTTAGGGTTGAAACAAACCCTA